TAAAATTCCATTTTCATGCATGCAGGCACACAAGGGGACTTAGGAGCTGTAATGGGATAATATCTAGATGAAAAATCACCATTAGAAATGAAAAGAGGACCTTGCAAATTAGAATACTGCTACGTTTGGACCTGCTTATTTAGAGCCCGCGTCCAATTCTTTCTATGGTTCCCCAGGTGTGGTGCTCACTCTTCTTTTATCCCAGCTGCTCCACATCTGGAGGGAAGCCAGGATGATCGTGGTGGCTTGTGTTTCTTCTCCAGACTTTTCGCCACCTGCCCACAGCACGCCACCGGTTCCCCTCCAGGTGGGTCTGGGCAGGACAGGGAGTCTGAAGTTACCGTATGAGGTCCGTGTAGCCCCCGGTATTGGCCGGAGGCTGTAAGACTCTCCAGGGCTTGAGACAAGATGCTTTCCTAGCTGTCGCCCTGGCTGGAGATCCTCCGTATGGCCTCCCACCCAAATACTGACCAGGCCTGTCCCTACTTAGCTTCTCAAATCAGATAAAGATCAGGTTGGTTCAGGGGAGATCGGGACAGAGGCGGCTATTTTCCCTTTTCTGCAGCAGCGCTCAGTGGGCTACAAGCTGGATCTGAATTCGGGTCCAGGGAGAGATGCTTTGCTCCTTCTCTTTCTCCCATTTCCCTTGGAAAGAGCAGCTGCTACACGCCATGTGTGCAAACAGGCTCGGCAAAATCCCTTTTCAGCCTCCGCCTGCAGAAGGCAGATAAGCGCCTGGCTCCAAGCGGCCCAAGGACAGGCCTGCTCTGGGACCCCGTTGGCTTTGCGCCCCCCGCCTCCTCTTCCTCCTTCCTCTCCCTTGCCAACCTTGGGCGCTCACGGAAGAGAGGAGGCCGCTACGCCCCTCCATCTCGGGAACCTTAACATTAAAGGGAAGGAAGATAGGATCTCCATGAAGTCAGACTGATGATGGAGGACAGCGGGGGTCAAGGGGTGTGTGTGTGTGTGTGTGTGATAACTGGTGCCAGGATGCGGCCACTCTTTTAAATTCTCATCATGCTTCTTTTATAGCACGACTCCAGGGCAACGGCGGGAAGTTAAAAGAGCAGGAGCGGCTCAGCAAGGAACAGCCCATGTTTTTATACACAAGAAAGCAGGGCAGCCGTTGTGTACGTGTGTGGGCGGCGTGCATTACCTGGCCCCCACAGGCTGCGTTTTTAGGGACAGCTTTCACAATGAGATTCAACATCCACAGCAAAAGGGTCTCCCTCCCCACCCATACGGCCGCTCCAGATTTTCAGCTGAACTTCACTGGAGCTGTCCAGGTGCTGAAACCCACCACCTCATACAGGGGGAAAGACGGGATAGGAAGGAAGTAATAGAAGACGAAGGGTATTTTGACTTTGGTGGGAGGTGCCCTTTCCCACACTGCTTTCTCATGGATCCCACTGGCTGGAATGCTGATGCTTAGCACAGTAAGTTGCACTCGAGTAGGCCCCTTGAATCCATGTGTACTCCTCTGTAATGTCCGTGGAGTCAGATGGCTCTTACCCTAGTGTGACTTACTGCGCTAAAAGCAATTTGGGGCCCTTGCGCTGGGCTGACTCTCCTCTCCTTTCCTCCTTTCTTTTTCTTCTCATGGATCCCACTGGCTGGAATGCTGATGCTTAGCACAGTAAGTTGCACTCGAGTAGGCCCCTTGAATCCATGTGTACTCCTCTGTAATGTCCGTGGAGTCAGATGGCTCTTACCCTAGTGTGACTTACTGCGCTAAAAGCAATTTGGGGCCCTTGCGCTGGGCTGACTCTCCTCTCCTTTCCTCCTTTCTTTTTCTTTTGCATGTATTCCTCTGTAACATTTGTGGATTCAAATGGCTCTTACTGTGGTGTGAATTTGGGGCCCTTGTGTTGGGCTGACTCCTCTCCTTTCCTCCTTTCTTTTTCTTTTTTTCCCCCTTTTTTTCTCCTTTCCCTACCAAGCAATCCACTTGCGTGATGTGTTTCGCAAGCGTCCTGGCGTCCACTTCCGTCAGGAGCTCCTTGACCTTCTTGAGCACGGCCATCTCCAAAGGTTTATTTTCAAGAGGGATCAGCAGGGAGTGGAAGACGGCCGGGTTGAAGGAGGAGATCCTTTCCACCACGGGGACGACGAAACCTACAGAGTCCGGCTCCAGCCGCTTCCGGGGTCCGGCCTCGGCCTCGCCGCCGTTCAGTCCGAGCCCTCGCTGGCTCTCGTCCCCCTTCAACCTCTCCACGTAGCTCTTGGCCGGGGCGGGTTTGCCGTCCGCGCTCGGCCTGTCCCACTGAACCGGAGAGGGAGGGTGCAGCTGGCAGTAATGCCCGCTGTCCGGATCGCTGTAGCTACCGATGGAGGGGGAAGGAGACGCCCGGGAGTATCCGTGCGAAGGCGTGGAGCGGGCGCTGTCCGAGTGGTCGGCCCTGCCACCGTTTCCTTGGCACAGCTGCGGCTCGCTGGAGCGCCGGATGACGGGAGACCCAGGGGCGACGCCATCGGTGGCTTGGCCCGTGTGGGGTTTTAGCCGAGAAACTGCAACAAAGGAATGTATATTACCATAAAAACCTGTCCCGTGGCAAGCTGGAAACAAATTGCCACGTTTCGTGGCCCTCTGCGTCCTCCGAGTGCTCTGTAACTACCCAGGAAGTTTTGCATCAAAGAGACTCTTGTGGTTTTGACAGAATTCACTGTCCCAAAATTAAAAATATATCTGTTTTTTAAGCAACGGCTTGGGGATGTGGGGTTGAGCCAGGCTTACCAGTGCTGTAGGCTGGCGTCGCCGAGGTCTCGGAGATGGGCGACATCGAGGCGTGGAGGTCCTGGATTTGATCAACGCTGACCGCACAGTTCCGGATGATGTCCCCATGATGTGGCAAAGAGACGCTGAAGAGGAGAAAAGAAAGCGTTCGGACAAAGGAATTCCAAAAAGATGTTAAAACACTTTTGGGTACTCTACACTTGGGAATCCTTCAAAAGGCTGCTGGAAGGACTGAGGGCATCTGTTTATATGATTAGGTTATTGCAGGAAAACCAACAAGTCTTATGGTATGTTTGGGGGGTAAAAGAGTCATTATCCTCTAAAAACTGGCATTTATAAGGAGGCAGAACTTCCCTGTTGGGGGTGATCTTGTGTGCTTTCTTTCTGAGTCTATTCCTTTCGTTGTCTCCTTGGGCGATAGAGGACATAAGAGGACCAGCCACGATGGACTGTACTGATCATCCGCCTCGTGCGGTGTTTGGCTCCTCGTGGGGGCCTCAGGGAAGCCCACAAACCCGATGTGAATGCAGAGGCTCCCTGTCTTGTGCAGCCTGGTGACTAGTATTCAAAGTTAACTGAGGAAACGTATGCCTGTTGCAACTAAGAAGGAAGCAGAGGGCTTTATTCCCTGTGACATTCACAGCCGTTCAAACGGGGCAGCTGTCACTGTATCTTGTGGCAGGGAGTTCCACCGTTTAACTCCATGCAAGGATTTTTAAAAAAAATCTGTCCAGAGTGAACATTCCCATCATTCAACTTCAATGCATGATCTCACTGGTTCCCAGCTCAAAAACCATCCTCAGCACCAAATGTACTTCGATACATCCCGTTGGTTTTCTTGCGTAATAGCACTGAGCAACAGAGACGAATTGTTTTAAAAAGGAACTTTCTGAGCTCGGCTTACCTGGTCGGGCAGCCTTCGCCCCGGATGATCTTGTCGGCCGTCAGTCCGTCGGTCATGGTGATGCTCCTGCGCTTGATATGCCCCCCTTTCTGGTTATTATGGCCGTGAGAGCCGCCGGGCTTCCCGTTGGCCAGTCCGTAGCTGGCTTCCAGGTAGCGCAGCGGGAAGGTGCGGTTGATGGGGCAGTAGAAGATGGCCCCGCTTTGCTCCGAGACGGGCTTCCGGTTGCCCACGTAGAAGCGCACCAAAGCCGGGACGTTGTCGAAGCTCTCTTGCTCGAAGAGGTACTGGACGTGAGTGCGGCCATCGCTGGATTTGACCAGCACCTTGTTGATCTTGAAATGGAGGGGTTCGTTCCGCCACCGACAGGTGAGGACATAATCCCCGAGGCTGGTGAGTGAGTCACGGATCAAGAAGTCCCCGTTCCTTTGTACAAGGCTCTCGGAAACCTAGAAGACCGGGTGGGGTGAGGTTGGGGAGAAGGTGTTTTTTTTTAAAGCCTGGTTTAAAAGCTTGCATTACCTGGGAAAGAACGGGTTTCCAAGCCCCCCCCCTATTTCCCAGTCACCTCTCACCTCTCGGGGAATGCGTCCGTGGTACCAAGCGTGGCTCCGGAGGTCTGTGCTGCTAAGTTTAAGTTCCTCTTCTAACTCCTTGTGAAGTTTCTCGGGAGATGAGTCAAGGATGTACTTCTCCTTGGAGAACTGCAGGGGGAGACAGAGAGCAAGAGCATCCTTGAAATCATTACATCAGCTAGCGTGCTGGACCTGGATTCGAATCCTAACACTTGATCCTGCCCATAATTCTCAACCCTAACCTCCCTCACCAGGTGGTTGTGGGGTTTTAAAAGGAAGTGCGCTTCGTTTGCCTCCATAAGCCCCTTTAACGAAAAGTGAGAGATAAGAAAAGGAACAATACATTGAAACGTACGAATAAAATGTGAACATTAGAAAGAGAGAAAATCAGCAGGTTTGTTCAAACCTCATTTCTCACATTTATCCTGGATCACTCTGCAGCCCATGAAGACCCAGGTCCAATCCTGCTAACTTTTATCATACAGTGTCAAAATCCCTACACAGTAAATTGGGATTGGAAGATAATTTATTTAATTTTTTTGCTCAGTTTTCTTCCTTTTTTAAACACAGTGAAGGGGAGGAATGGAGATGTATTGATGGATTTACGACGGCCCCTCGGATGAATTTCCAGGCTGCCTGCAACCTTACGCCCAAGACAGGGAAAGCTGCAATATACAGTATATATATTTTTTAGAAATTGAAGCCCCAGAGGCTGAAGAGACTTTTGGAAGGAAAAGTGGTGACCGGGAATAATGAGCAGCGTAACAAGGTCTCGGATGGCGTTTCTCACCCAGCTTTGCTGAACCGGCCCGATGCGCCATGCTTTCGCCTCGCTTACGCGCAGCTGCCAGCAGGACTGCTGCTCGGGAGCAAAGCCAAAGGTAAACAGACTTGTCAGCTAACATGAACTGAGAAGTGGTTTCGGCTGTGAAAGGCCTGTCAGTGGAGGAAGCTCACGGCTGCTCAGCCAGGCCAGCCAACTCGGGGGGCGATGCACCTTGGCTGGCGTGCATGAATGCGCTCAGGAGGAGCAGAATCCTCAGACGCGTCTCTCATTAGCAGCGCCCTTCGTGTCTAATACATACATCTTACGTTACTGTGCTGTGCATTGCAATTTTAGGACTTCCTTCGATGTTTCCCCTTATCGACGCTTTGTAAGCTGCTTTAAATACAATTTGTACGGCGTGATATTTATGGGCGCCTATGGGTTTGTTTCTGCTTTACACCTTGTTGGGTCAATGGAAGCATAATACAGTGGTGCCTCGCTAGATAGTTACCTCGCATGACAGTTTTTTCACTAGGCATCGACTTTTTGCGATCGCTATAGCGATTAGCAGAACAGTGATTCCTATGGGGGAATTTCGCTGGACAATGTTTGGTCCCTGCTTCACAAACTGATTTTTGCTAGATGACGATTTGCTTTTCGCTAGACAATGATTGGTCCCTGCTTCACAAACTGATTTTTGCAAGATGACGATTTGCTTTTCGCTAGACAATGATTTTGTTAGACAGCGATTTCAGTGGAACAGATTATCATCGTCTAGCGAGGCACCACTTGTAATGAAAGAACACGCTCTCTCTGTTTCCTTTTCTCTTTAATCTGTCGGCCCAGCACTGAACGTTAAGTTTCCAGGGATCCAGAGGGTGGATTACGAAAGCTGTTTAGCAGTAAAGCTTCTGTTGAGAATTCGAGAGAGGGCTCCTTTTAAAAAATCAAATCAAATAGCAGCAGTAAGAGAATAAGAAACAGCACTATAGAAATCCAAATGGGAACAATGAACTCGGAGGGAATTCCTGTTCTTTCCTTTCCTCCCTTGCACCTTCCTCCCTCCAGCCTTGAAATATGGGCGACAGATTACCCAGCCAGGCAGAAAGCTTTTCCACAAACAGTTAACCCTGCTGTGTGTCAAAGCCTGCTGGTGTAAATGAATAATAATGACAGATTTAAACAGGCAAGCTTCTGCATAAAGATGAGCTTGACTCTAATGCCCATGCACCTGAGCCTTAAACCTACAAGACCCACCCTCTCGGTTTCTTCTGCTCCCCCCCCCCGTCACTGCCCATTTCCTCTCCTGGGGGGGGGAGGCAGGGAGGAGAGCCACTGCTCTGATGTAATGTCTCAGGGGTAAGCAGCCTCCGCGGTGTAATACGCCATGCAAGAGTCCCGGGGAAAGACAGTGCCATGGCTGTGTGTTCAGAGGTGCATTGCCTCCTCGTCAACCAGGGTTGATACGCCATGCAAGAGTCCTGGGGAAAGACGGTGCCATGCCTCTGTGTTCAGAGAAGGTGCATTGCCTCCTCGTCAACCAGGGTTCTATTTCCAGTACAGTGGTGCCTCGCTAGACAGTTACCCTGCATGACAGTTTTTTCACTAGACATTGACTTTTTGCGATCGCTATAGCGATTCGCAAAACAGTGATTCCTATGGGGGAATTTCGCTGGACAATGTTTGGTCCCTGCTTCGCAGCAAACCAATTTTCGCTAGACGACGATTTTGACAGCTTCCTCCGTGCTCGCAAAACAGGTTTTAGGATCTAAGCTTCGCAAGACAGCGATTTAAACAGTTGATCGGCGGTTCACAAAGTGACTTTCCTATGGCCGATCTTCGCTAAACAACAACGATTCTTCCCCATTGGAACGCATTAAAACAGGTTTCAATGCATTCCAGTGGGGAAATGATTTTTGCTAGACGATGATTTCGCTAAACAGCGATTTCAGTGGAACGGATTATCATCGTCTAGCGAGGCACCACTGTATCTCTGAGTTCGGCTGCAAAAGCCTGGGGTGGGGCAGAACCTTTCCAGGCAACATGTCCCTCTCTACCATCTTCAGAGAGGGCTGGGAAAGCCTTCCGCACCCAAACCCTGGCGAGCTAATCTTGGTCAACCTGACTCATTCCGCAGAAGTAATGGCAAGGCTGAACCCGCTAGCCACCATGAACCCAGCCGCTTCCTCTGCATTGAGGGGTGACCAGCTTGAAAGCTAAATGTCTGCACCTCACTCAGATTTTTAGGAAAAATACAGACCTATAAGGAGGTGGCTGGGGATAACTGGACCTGTAAATCAACATATCTGAGCAGATTAGGAACGGGTTGGTTTAGGCGTTTCTAAGCAAATGTGCAGGTAGCAGGCATGGGGGGGGCTGCTTATAGGATCCCTGGCTTTTTAAAGAAATTGCTGTCTGTGCAAATGTACCTATATTTATTTATTTAAAATATTTTTCTCCCGCCTTTCTCTTTCAAAAGAAATGGGCGCCATGTCTGTGTTAACATAACAAGGCTGTCTGTCTTGTTTATAAATTGACTGTGCTTGCGGATCACAAAGCATCCCGGTTAGCTTACTTCCTTCAAAAGAAATGGGTGCCATGTCTGTGTTAATAAATTGACTGTGTTCGCGGATCACAAAGCATCCCGGTTAGCTTACGAAGACAGAACACCCCCCCCATGTTAAAATACTTGATAAAGCCGACACCACGCACAGAGTGATATTCACCGAGATAAACCGTGTACAACTTCAGAGAGCAACTCGTATTAAAAGTCACAGCCTTAATAATAATAATAATAAAGGAGCATCAATTCGTCTCTGAAGCCTTCCTGAAATACTTCCAGGGGGGGAAAAAAGCTTTTTCTCTCTCCCTGCTCTGCTTTCTTCAAAGTCTCTGGCATGCCTTCTTGAGGTTTCTAGTCAGGTCCGGGGGGCCCAAACCCGAATCATTTTTGCAGCATCTCCATGAAGGATCTCACTTTTCCTACATTCCTACTTCATTTTGAGTGGCAGAGCGAGTTCGAACGGAGGCACGCTGTTAAAAATGATCTCCGGATCTCAACGCCTCTGCAAAGCCAGACTTCAGCTGCAAGAGACTTGAGTTGATTCACTGCTTGTGGGGAGGGGGGAAAAGCCATCCCCAGCCCGTTTGTGAACCCTAATTAAAAATGAATGGTCCAGCCGTGTGCTGTTCCCCTTTGGCCCTCTCAAGGGGTACCCAAGCCGGAGCAGATGCCATCGCCATGGCAACCCCCTCCTCTTCTCCCCGGCCTGTTCTCCAAGGCTTACCGGTTCTCCCGAGCAAACTTAGGAAGGAAAACATCCCTCCAAAAATTTGTTATTCTCGGGGCACGTATGGGGCGGATGAGCCGGGAATTTATAGGTCTTTTTATCTCTCAAGCCTATTGGTCTGCGCACATCCTCGGGGAGAGGATGGAGCTGCGGACTGCGCAGGCAGCGATAACAAAATTTAAAAGGGGGGGAAGCGAGATTAAGGGATGGGGTGTCGAGAAAGGCCTGGCAGCCCTTCAGATGGAAGGCTTGTCTTTGATACAAAAGGCATTCCAGTTTATCTTTCTAGTCGTGCGGTTTAATATCCCAAGAATCCGGTTGTAAACTCGCCATCTCACACTTACAGGTGTCTGAAGGATTTCTCCCACCCGTCTTTCACTTACTCTGCCGCAGCGTACTGCAGGCGGGGGCCTGTTATGGGTCCTGCCCCCACTTTTCAGCCGTTCAGAGTAAACCCAGGGTGCAGTGAGGGTGCAAAACAGCCAGCCACAGCATGCCATCCCGAGGGGGAGGGGGAGAGGACTTCAGGCTTACGGGCTTCCCTTTCTGTGCCCTGTAACTGGATGGGATGGGACCATAAAATCCTGCTTTTGCAGATGGAAAACCTCATGCAAAGTCCCCAACGTTGGCAGGGAGAAAGGACAGAAACCCCGATGAGCTGCCAGTCAGTGCAAACAGCATTGGCCTAGAGATGGACCGATGTTTTAACTCCACACAAAGCAGCCTTGCATGCTCATCAAATGAGATGCGGGCGTGTTTTTAAGGGCATGTAAGGGCTCTGGCTTGCTGGCATCCGAGCTCCTGGAAAGCGTTGAGGCGGAGGGCGGATCCTGCCACAGTGCCCTCCTATGCAGCTGCCTCACTCCGGTTGACCCTGGGCTGCTGGCGACTCCTGTATCCCCCTTTTTTCCACCCTCCCAGAGGGACCTCCTGCGGAGAATAATAAGGGGGGGGGAGAGAGAGAGAGAGCCAGCGGCAGGGACTGGGAGGAAGAGCGACCTTGGAGTAAAGGCCAGGAAGAAAGAAAGGAAAGGCAGGGAGGGGAAGCGGCTGAGAAGGTCAGCCCCAGAATA